TTATAAAAATGGGGATTTTGATTCAATGACGAAATCGCTTGCAAAATATCTCTTTGCTCACATGTTCAACGTTATGTTATTTTTCCGTCATTTTTATAATTTATGCATTCAAGAGATTTTGTGTTCATTTCCAATGTTTATTTTGAGGTAACTAATATTCTGCCATCTGCAGTAACAAACAGATGAACAGCTGGTATTTTCTCTGCTTTCATGAATCAACTCCCTCAAGTTTTGACAGATGGATTGAAAGTAAACAAATCTCACATGGGGAAAATATGACCAAAGTTTGTCATGACTGAGAAGATGATCCTTTCACAAAACTGATCTGTTCAAAGAAATAACGGATTGTAGGCCCGACCAGAGGCAGAATGTGCCGAGTCTCATTGCCTTACAAGGACCCTCCCAATGATTTTGACAATAAAATGCTGTAGTTGTCGGGCTTGTTTGAGAATCGAAATCCATTTTAGTCCGACACGTTTACATGGTGTGTGAGTGGTCGAACAGAGATCCATTTTTAACTGAAAAATTGCAGCGTGGCCCTTCGTTGACCTGACAATGGCCTTTTGCAGTGTCGTCATCAAAGAAAGTTTCTAAGTGGAAGCTTTTGAAAATGGTGTTGTTGTTTTTTTTGTTTTGCTTTTTTAATATCTGAACATGATCAATCCATTGCACTCCTCTTGCAAAGTCTATATTTACTAGCTTGCCACTGGGTCGGTCTGATCCCCAAGTGAATTTATTTTAAGGCCGCTGCGGTTTGAAGTAAATGCCATTGTCTCTATTTGCGGTAAATCTTGATCTTCCTTCACATTTTGTTCTTCAGTTTTCATCTCAGCCACGCTCGCCACCCCTTCTTATTAGTCAGTGACACTACTCGATATCTCCCTGGTGTGCTACATCTCACTTTTCTCCCCAGATGAACCGGGTCAGTGTCAATCCTGCTTTGTAACACTCTATTTCTCTGCGGACTCCGGCAGGGAAAAAGAGTGGATAGGCTACTGAAGGGGCTTTCAATCCAATCAGTGCGTTCTGATAGACTTGTTTCTAAAGAGATAAAGGGCTCTGTGGCTGCTCCATCCCTTTAGTTGAATTCTGTTTTCTATGTTTCACCAGTGTTAATATAACTTGGCAAATTTTGAGCAGTGACTCTACCCCCTGTGGTATCCAATAGTCCTCGGTAAGTCAAACCAGGAAAATTCTCTGCCCCGGATCCCACCCCAAGATACTATTTGCAATTCTTTTGCTGTTCGCAGGCTCTGTTTAAACGTTCCTCCCATTGCATCGAAGTCAGAACATAACCAACAAATCACGACATGTTAGGTGGGCGCTAAGGAAGAACATGTGGCTGTTCACTTCAGTTCGTCACAATACAGTAAAACCATGATTTGCTACGTGTTCTAACCAAGGGGTGTGTAGGCGGAATATTGATGGTCTTCTTGAGTGGCATCACATCAGTGTGAACAGTTCAGTGTGAACAGTTTGTAACCTGCCACTAAAAGAAGAGGAACGCAGTGGGCAGATCAATTTTACATCAGCTGACACAGGATCAATTACACTCAATTGCCTATACCCAATTAACGATGATTAACTGACAACCAGTGCAGTGTGGAGTTCGCTTGGGAAAGGCTTCAGTTTCTATCGTGACCCTAAACAGGACAAGCGGGAAAGAAAATGAATGAGTGGATCGATTCAGAAAAACCTCCATCCACTACCCCCCGCCCCCCAAAAAAAAGAAAAAAATTGACAAACACCCTGCGTGGACTATAACCACGACAACTCTAAAACTATGGTTTGATTTAGACTTATATTACGTGGCTCAAGTGACACAATTTAGATTTTTTTTTTTTTCCATCTGAGCAGCCAAACTCGAAAACAGAAAATCGCAGCTCCAAAAGAAACAGATCAGAGTCAGGCCACTTTCTAATATGGATAGAAATATGTTCTGAATCTCCTTTCTGCTGAAACGGTTGCACCTTACTGTAAAATGACAAATCAGATACGCTGTCATTGTACAAAGAACACTGCTGGTAATAAAAAAAAAGACCTCCAGCAAAATCGCAGACTATTCAATATAATATGTTAAAAAAAAAAAAAAAAAAAAGTTAAACACATTAGTGATGCAGTGATTATTAAATCAGGAAAACGATTGCTGACAGTGAAGTAACTTTAGTTTGTAAGCCAAGTTTACTGTCTTCCAAACTCAAGTTGGGAAAGAGTCAGTCCAGGCCGAATAAGCAATATTCAAGGTTTCATAATTGAATAATTTATCAAAATATTCTGGTTTACGTCATCGTCGTCCTTGCTCGGTGTTGACACTGATGCAGTTATTTCCTGCATTGTGGGCGGATGATTTATGCGGGTTTCAGGTAAACAGGAAATATAAACACAGTGATGTTAGATATCGCGTCGGTTCGTAATGAATACTGTATATGAAACCACCAACCATTTCTATTCAAAATTTAAAACGACAGAGTGCTAAATCAAATTTTCATTTCTTGAGTAAGAAGTCACATTCTTGTCAAGAATTGGTCTCGCGTCGTGAGCAGTTTGTTTTTGTGGTTGAATGTTACGCTTGATACATTTGTGATTGAGAAGCCCAGTGTGCCGGCTCAAATATTGGGATCAAAAGGTAAATTCAGTTTGAAATGTCTCATTGCTCTTCCAAATGTCTAAACTAGCCAGAGCTCCCTGACATTGAAATGGTCTGCATTAACCCTTTCATGCACCTTGTAACCTGATAACATGATAAGCTGTCGACTGTGGTAACCGCTGTCCCTGAAAGGGTTAAAGTACTTCATGATGCTGGATGGTCACGAGGCGCTCTATCACAGGTGCTCGTCAGACCTGTGGTTTGAATCCAACCTACTTTTCTAATTGCACCACTCTATTGCCACATCCAACTGTGAAGAAGACAATTGTTATATCTAATTAACGAAAAGCCAGTCTAATGTGTGGGAATACCTTTATTGGTTTCCCTCAAACGTCATCGATCTCAGCGGGTTACATTTGAACAAGACACCAGCAGCAATGTGACATCCAAGATAACGGCCAGCAATTGCTTGTGGGAGCATTAATGGTGCGCTAAGTTCCAGCCTCTCTTCAACTCTTCCATACGTTGCTGGACGTTTATGCTTCACAGTTCAGTAGAAGCTGATGTTCCAACAGCTCTGTCCCTCCTCTTTTACTTCCATTCTTCGTCACAGTAACAGCCTGGTACATCACCCTCTCGGATGTTTGTCTTCCTCGCACATTTAAATTCTCTCAACCGGTGCGCTTTTTCCTCCCTGCTCAGTTTACCGGCCAAACTTTGTTCATTTTGCTTCTGTTTTATGGACACCATTAGATGTGAGTCACTGAGTCACCACCTGTAAAAGTACTGCAGAAGGAAGGGTGTGGCGTCGACCATCTTTTTTTTTTTTTTTTTTTGGTGCACTTTCAGCCAGGCCGCATCAGTCACAGCCCTGCTGCTCTTAAGAGACAATTAAGACTATCTTTCACGATAATCATGCAAGTGCTCCTCCCATTTCCCCCCATTGCCAAAGCTCAGACAGGGGCAACCATGATTGATTTGGCCAATTTGTTCTGTTGATTACGAGCACCGTGGAAGCGCAGAATCTCACACGTCCTCGCTCACTTAGGGGCCCTCGACTCGGGAGTAAAACTGCGCAGAGAACTGAGTGATGGTGTGCGATGGAACCTCCAAAGATGCATTCAGCGAATCGTTTCCTATGCCGAGGGGGGCCTTTTTGCGAGTAGCACTTGAACACGATAACTGATATTGTGAAACGCTGAGGTTTTGTCTTTCGTGCATCACAATTATTTTAGTACATGAAACGAGCACACCAAACATGTACCCAAGTCAGGACCAGAATGGATTTAAAGGTCGTAAATGTTCGGTACTCAGTGGGACGGTGGCTTAAGAGCAGGGGTGTCAAACTCATTTTTGTTGCGGGCCACATTGTAGTTACGGTTTGCCTTGGAGGGCCGTGATGAATTTTGGGAAACCATATCAATGTTTAATCCCCTCTACATATAAGATATCCTTTATTTGTCCCACACTGGGGAAATGTACACATATTCCAATATATTACATATATTACACATACAGCGCACAACAAATTGATGAATAACTAGTTTTAAAATCAGAAGTCAAGAATAATGACTGTTATTGTGGATTGCATATGACAATTTCAAATTTTGGTTCAGACTTCAGCAAGCATCATGGAACTTGACTTGCTTGATTTGCTTTCGCGGGCCACATAAAATGATGTGGCGGGCCAGATCTGGCCCCCAGGCCTTGACTTTGACATCTGTGCTTTAGAGAGAGGAGGAATGGGTAGGAATGCTCAGAGAAGGTTGAAGGAAGGAAAACACCACTTTAGGGGTGTGTTTGGTTAGGAATTAGCATTTTAACGTGGTTTAAAGCTCACAAACAGTTGTACTAGCATGATGTGGCCCCTTTAAAGCAAAAGGCCTTTCAACATAGTATTCATTTCAGAATGTAGTGTGATTAAAAATAATTTACCATCACAACTTTTTCACAATGAAGGCATTGTCCTCAATGTTGATCCCGACTGTGAAGGATGTTAGTGCCAGTGCGCGTTGTCTTTTCCTCTCATGTGTTGTGTATGTCTGTATAACATGCTGTCTTTTTACCTAGCCCTCCATGCCTCAGCCAATTTTTGGGATGAATCGCTGTCTGGTAAAAGAAAACAAAATGGCTTAAATTTCCACCTTCTTGCCTCCCTCTCACATTTCACTGTCCACCACATCCACGCCATTCACCACCAGATATGTCCCTCTCCCACTTTTACTTCCAGTCTTATGGAAATACCCAACCAACAGCACACACACTAACTCGCCTTTGTCAGACACACACCAACGCACAATCCATCACTAACCCACAACTGGCACGAGCTGAAAATGAACGGTGTGTGAAGGTAGCGGGAAGTGTGCTCAAGATAAGTTGTTATGTTACAGTATATCATCTTCTCTCCCTCTAGCCACCATGAAGTTCAGTGGTTTTCTGCACTTGGACCAGGTGGAGGGACAAGAAATAGTATACACCCCCGAGATGGAGGACCCAAAATCTGAGCTTTTCGGAGAGACGGCCCGCAGCATCGAGAGTGCCGTAAGTGCTGAGCGTCACTAGCTTACATGCTATAGTATATGCTGGCTACAAAGCCATTGCGCGACCGCACTTGAGCAGCTAGCATTTTAGCATGCAACGTAATATAGTCGGTACATGGCTGTACGGTTGTTAGCGTAAGCCAGCTAACTAGGAATATTCAGTAGTACAAGTTTTGGAAGTGTGAAAGGTAGAGATGGGAGTAGGTCATATAGCCGCCATCAAGTAAAGTCATTTGGTTCACTTGGTTCAAGAGTTCTTAGTCAAGTCTTGAAATCCTACTCAGTTTAGAATTTTAGAGTGATAATAAAATGTTTATTTTTTTCGTCGATCCCACTTTGTAGTTGACACATCTGTCTACGGCTGATAACACCAACAACACTGAATATTAAGGTACTTACTTGGTAATACACGCACACGTTAGGAAATTGAATCCATTTGTGAACTCAAAAGTTCCCCTTCATCCGGTGATTAGCATTGGTCTGAAAAACGTAGGTGGCCAAAACGTGCCTAATTCAAACTAAACGACCAACAAACTAACCAGAAATGGAAATATCTGGCCTGTTTAACAGATGTGGGGCTTTTAATATCATGACATGATGACAACGATATCGTGGCGATTTTAATATTGCGATATCGTCGTTATTGTTACATCCCGAATGTGTGTGTGTGTGTGTGTGTGTGTGTGTGTGTGTGTGTGTGTGTGTGTGTGTGTGTGTGTGTGTGTGTGTGTGTGTGTGTGTGTGTGTGTGTGAGATAACGTTTACTTGATAAACTTCTCAGCATAAAACATCACACATGCACACCAAACTGTTTTTGTACAGGGACACAAAGCAAACAATTCTAAGGATATGGTGTATAGTGGAGGGCATCAAGTATTCTCAAAATTGCCAATGTGCTGATGAAAGTGAAAATTGTTTGCAAATGGTTTCACCGCCATAAAACTTGATATCATCATCTGAAGTTGTGTTTGGAGCTTGTTCAGCTGCTGATTCAAGTGGTAAAAAAAAAAAAAAAAATGAAATGGTGCTTTAAAGCATCTCGAGAACATTTCCTGCCTAAATTGACGTTGAAAAATGCTGCCATGTGAACAGCTTCCCTCCATTTTGCCACTGTGCCCACTCGCTTCAAAGTTTTCCTGCAGAGAACTTCTGATTTGGAGAGAGCCTAAGTCATCGTTTTCAAGCATCATTTGACAAATCTCCACTTAGAGCCGGCCGGACTCATCGTTTTCCTCCAGCTCCTTCAGGTCCACTCAGGCTGGTTTCATTGCAGGTGTTGACACTGCTGTGGTTGCTAAATGGTACTCAGGTGCACTGGGATGATGGAGAGCGGAATAGAACATGTTTGCTGGCTGCCCGAGTGGAGTGTGAATTCATATCACATTATTCTGACATGGTTGCCTGGTTGATATTTGAAGTTTGATCAAAGGCATATTGACAAATAATTTTTCAGAAAATCACCAAGAAAATGAGTTTGTAGTGGTGGTGTGTTATTTTCACAAACACGAACATCAAACAAGGAAGTATGGTCTGATTTCAAAAGTTTTGTGTGGGAAAATGACACCATTTGCTTTGGTGTCATTTTTCAAGGCATGTCACGACGGCAATGAGGAAAAATTGAGTCTTGCTGTTTTTAATTTTTTAGACATCAGTTCTAGACTTTTTTTTTTTGTTTTACACAAAATTAAGCACATTTATTGTTGGCAAAAGAGATACAATTAATGTATTAATAGATGGATAAACAGTCTACTTCATTAATTCCAGGCAGGAAATGTCATGTTTTGTGTTAACTCCGATTCAAATTATTGGTTTGATCTTCGGGGAAAAACAAAAAAAAAGGTCAATAGAAGCTAATTTTTTTATAATTAAGAAAATATCATTTTCCACTTTGGAATCATTATTTCGATCACTGTCAATTAAAAATTAAGATCTTTAGAATTAATCCATGAGGAGTCCAGCAGTCATCCATCCATCCATTCTCTGGGTCGCAGGTAAAGCCTATCCCAGCTGAGTTTCTGTTTTAAATGTATTTATTTTTAGCACAATTAATTAATAATCCACTCACAAAAATAAATAGTACAAGTAAGTATTGTTTGTAGTAAGACCCTTGTTAAATTGTTCATTGTTTTGTGGGTCGTTTAAGACGGCTTGGTACAAAGGAGATTCCCAGGAGTGTTGAGCAATGGCTATGCTCGTTTCGTTCAACCCAACACTTTTAATTCATTACATTGCACGCAAGTTATTGAAGTATCGGCATCCTGAGTACCAAGGCAAATGCCTTCTGCGCCTTCTTAAAAAAAACACGCGCAGCTCTCGTCGAGATGGTGGCAAGATTGAACTGGGAAAATCTAAAACAAACAACTGACAAATTCAATTGCTTCCAAAACCGGAGCAGCAAAAAGTATGTGAACACGAGTCGCAAAGTTATTTGAAAAGTCCCGTAAAAGAACTGTGTTTCAAATAGCCGTTCCAGTTTGCCACGAGGTCCTGAGAGACGTAATCAAGCTGCCTGTCCAGTTTGTTGTCTCTGTCATTATCGGCCCTTGAAATCAACGTTTTTGTAGTCGAGCCTCACTTCCCTGATGAAATGAGGCCTTGCTTGTGTGTAAATGCACGTCGGTGTGTAGTCACATCTACCAACTGCTGGATCAGTGTCACAAGGGTCCAGTGGGACCTAATCTATGTTACCTCAAAGTGTCTGCGTGCGCACGTGTGTGCCACTGTTAAAACTCCGCTTGTTTGTCTCTGCTGCCACCCGCCATCATTTACATACCGCACACATCCAAGGTCCTCTGTTGAAAACTGAAGTGGGGAAAAGTCAAGCTTCAGTTTCTGCTACAAGAATTCTAAGCCAAGGACAGACATCCACCGAGTAGTATTTTTGTGTCCTTGCGCCATGTTCCATGGAGCTATTTGAAGATTTCACAAATAAACAAAACAATACATTTTGGATATGCTAAAACAACGTTATTTTTTTAACTTCTTTTAAGACATCACGTCAATCATTCGTGATTTGATAAGTGAGGATGCGGATGTGGAATTTCTGTTTACATACAGTATGTTTTGGTGCCGTTTGTGTTGCATCGCTGCTTTTTGAAGGTTTTGTCGATACTTGATTGGCTTTAATGCAACATTCAGTCCATAGGTACTGAAAGAAACCCTTTCCACAGAGAATCCTGCAGAAAAATGGACAGCGTCCTGCTAGTCACACAGTATAAACCTATTCTGCAGTGTCGGTGACATTCTCCTTTTGGCGGTTTTCAATCAGCTGAGAAATCAAGTCAAGAAAGTGTGAGATTTCTATGAAAGCATCAGTAAATGGGACATAATATGCCTCAGTCAAATCACCGCTATGCATGTGTGGGGAGGGGTATGGGAGCTACTGGAAGTGGGTTAACAGGCCCTCTGGCAGCTTAAATAATGACACGGTGTGTATTTAGGAGATTGGATGTGATGAATCCACTGCAAAAGGGAAGGAACACTTAAAATGGCGTGCTTTTTTTTTTTTTCGTAACATAACATTTTTGAAGCTCCCATTTCAGGAATAAACGCTGTCCTGGATTCCTTTTTCGGCGGACCAGAAACAGCTTTCAGAGCTGAAAGTGTAGTGGCCTTAAATAAACTTGGAGCTTTGAACCGTCTTTGAATTTGGCTTCCACATATTGAGGCAAAACTAATCAAGAGCACGACATTTATCTTCAAGCTTTAACCCCTGTCACGGGTTGAGCTAAAATGTCAGTTTTTCTTTTTTTCTTTTTTTTTTTTAAATCACACACAAACACACACACACACACACACACACACATTTTCTAGCAAGCAGATCGGGTACAGCTGTTGAGAAATGAAATTAGCTTCGTGATAGGTTTGCACTCGTCGCCAGCCTCATTTAAGATCCTTTTTTTCCTTTCCCCATGTCCCTTTTCACTCTCTAACGCTCTCAATCGCCCCCTTCTTTTATTCAGCTCAATGACCTCTTCAGGAAATCGGAGGTACGCAGAGACTTCATGAGCATTCGTGTCCGTAACCTGGCACCCAGCAACTCCATCCTGGCCTTTGTGGAGGCTAATTTCAAACCAGGTGAGATGACAACGCACCTGAAAAGACACAATAAGTGTGAAGTGTTGTAAGACTGTGAAATTATTCGCCATCAAAACCTCTGCCTTCCACCTGTATGTTGCATACAATGCTACAACATGAAACCCTGTTGTCTTTCTCTTTCACCTTCTAGTTGTAATTTCAATGGCAGCCTGTCATGGCAGCATACGACTTCGGTTTGAATTCATTGCACATTTCTCAGCACTGTTTGATGCCAGTTAGCAAAATTGATGAAATCCAGAAGACATTTTTTTTCTTACAAATGGTTAACTCTACCAAATTGTTCTATCATGTCACTTTTGCTTGGAATTTCTTCAAAGTGTGACAGAAATGTCCAACTAAAACCTCCCGTTGCAGTTGACAAAAGTCCATTCTCCCCCGCCATAAACTGTCCTTCACTTATTTTATTTCTTTTTTTTTTTTTAATTATTAAATATATATTTTTTTACGAACTGCATTTAGCTTCCTTTATCCCCGTCATACGGGCTAACGGGCATCATTAAAGCGGCTGTCCTCCGAGGCCACTAAAGCTAACATCTGTGTCAAACATTATGAGACCAATTCATCTGGAACATGAGGGGGAAAAAAAAAAGCAGGCCGACATGCAGGTGGAGGACAAGTGGTCCCCAGAGAGCCTCCTGGTGTCACAGGCAGGGTTTCTCTGGTATATCCACTGCCACGCTAAAGAAGCACAAGTCCTGTGTGTTTATTCTGTAAGTGATCGTTCGAGGTCTTGCCCTGAGTGGATGTGCCTGTTGTTTATTATAGACACAAGATACACAGTGGAGGACATCGAGGGAGCTCTCCTTAAACAGCTGAAAGTCTCCAAGGGAACGAGCATCGCGGTGAAGAAGCCGCTGGATGAAAATATTCGCTTCAACAACTATGGTAATTGATCGAGTGTATAGGAGTTAATGAATAGTGGATTTAGAAATTGTTTCCACATCGCTTACTGATAACTTTATATGACTGTAGGTCATTCACAAACATGATTTTCAACAGTTTTAACCATCAGTGTTGGATGTATGGGTGCTTAGTGGGATACTTTGCGGTTGACGACGGCCATGCATTAAAAGTTCTCCTCCTTTACATTGACAGGCGTATCCTCCATCCCCTTCTATACTACCACCACCACGTTCGTCACCACTCATGCTCCCACCACCACCACCACCTTCAGACGTTTGGTAACCTCCCCCTACATCACCCGTCGGCCCCCGGGCACGACCCGCAGGCCCAGCACTGGCAGACGGACCACCACCGCATCAGCACCCGTCAGCACCCCGATCCCAATGACCACCACAGCACAACCGATCATCACTACGACGGCAATGCCGCGAACCACCACCGTCGCCCACGTCCGCGAAAGACTGCACAAGCACCAGAGACCCTGCGATTCCCACCCTTGCCTCCACGGGGGAACCTGTGAGGAGGAGGGTGATGACTTCAGTTGCAAGTGCCCTGCAGGGAGAGGAGGCTCTGTGTGTGAAAAAGGTGAGGGTTTTTTTTTTCCATTAAAATGTTATACGTTTTCTTCAACTTGTTGGAGATTTTTAGTCTACTTTGACCATTTTCAAAAAAAAAGACCAACTGGCCTTTCAAAGACCTTTCAGATGAACTACAAGACAGATGGTCAACTCCATTGTTGGTTCAATTTCCAGCATCTGTCAGTGTAATGTCCCAAATCCCAAAGCGTCTGTCCATTTAGTGGGTCAGCTTCATCAAATATTTTAAACTAATATCTTAGATGGGGAAGTGCCTCTGAGGAAAGTCTGATTTCACACATCGAAATGAAGTCACACACACACACACACACACACACACACACACACACACACACACGCATTCATCTGATCAATCAATTCACGAGAACGAGCTCATCAACTCCCTGCACACACACAGAGAGTCAGACAGCCTGATGGAGAGAAAAGGAGCCCAGGGAGAAAAATGGATGATGAGGATAATCATAATTGTCAAGAGTCAGAAAAAACAAAAGATTCCCATGCTTGTGTCTAAATGTGTAAATGAAAGGCTCAGCTGCTCCTTCCTCTTGTCATCATCCCCACTATGATAAACCAGAACAATCACCTTTCCCCAAAAATAAACTGATGAGCTGTCATCAAGCCCTGACGTCGCTCTCCCCCGACGATGCACCTGTTACACCGGAAACAACGTGAATCACGTATTGACTTTGTCCCCCTGCAGTGATCAAGTACTTTATCCCGTCATTCGGCGGCCACTCTTACTTGGCCTTCCAAACCATGAGCGCATACCACACCGTCCGCATTGCCATGCAGTTCAGAGCATCCGAGATGACAGGCATCCTGCTCTACAACGGCCAAGAGAACAAGAAGGATTTCATCTCTCTGGCTGTGGTGAATGGCAAAGTGGAACTCAGGTAACCAATCGCGTAGTGAACAATGGCTCGTCAGTATCCCTGAAGTCATACATTATTGATTTCGACTGAAATTTTCAAATACAAAGTGTTCCCCCTGAGGGCTGCAAGCAATGAATGAATTCCAAGTGGAAGAGTGTCACAGTGGCCCTCATTTTGATACTCTTCGACTTTAATTAATTAAACACGTTAAAAACATTGCATCGAGTTCTTCTAGATTGTTTAGATTTTTCAGTTTGTTTGAAAAACAAAAGTTTATCAGGAAGTAGTTGAGGTGTTTTCGGGTTTTGAGGCACAAGAATAGATCCACCCCTGTGCTAAGCAGATTTCCACATTCAGAAACAAAACAGGACTGATCTGTAATATGCTGACAATTTTTAATGATTCATGTTATATGTTTATAGATCATACTTTGACAGAGCAGAAAATGGAGGAAACCATTTGTGAAACCATTTTGTCACCGTTGTGAAGAGAAATTGTTTACTCATAGTATATGTCTGAGTGTGTGTGTATGTGTGTTTGATACGGTTAGAAATGTGCACTAAAATATGTCCGTAATTCCTTATCCTTGTGGTATTTTGACAAAACCATGTCCCATACATGACAAAGCACCAAGGATTTTTTTATAATCGTGAAAAACTGCATAATGTCTCCTTTAACCTGATATCGTGGAACGGATTACTTCAGTTTCAATTGTTACCTATGGGCAGAATTCTTTCATGTTCAAGTAAAGAAAAAGAAGCACTACTGTTGAAGACAGTGCTCCAAATTCAAAAGGCTTACGAATCCCTGCGAAGGAACATGGGTCCTCGCAATCGCTTTGGCTTTCACTAAAACTGAGAATAAAAACAAATACAAGTCATTGATGGAGTCAAGGCCCCCCACCACGAGCAACTAAATATTGACAAAGCAGGTTATTGGCAGATTTGCAGGTTGAAGCTGTTGAAGCAAAGCTTTTCATAATCATGTTTGGTGAGATAAACATAATCACAATGCATGCGTACTGTATATGCGGGAGGTCTCATTATGATTCATAAATGCAGGACCACACAATTCAGTGGAATTGCCTGGAAATCAAATGATCAAATACACGAGGTGTATCAAAACTTCCACTAGATATGTCAATCATAATATTGCAAAGTTTGCAGTGATGTAGAACTGAACTGCGTTTTTGAGAGATGTTTCCAAAATATCAGAAACGGTCAGTATTATATAGTGTGGAAACTATCTTTGTAGGGGAAGTCAAGTCAACAATTTTTGTTGCAAGAATATGTTGTCTGCAGCCTGACTAGTCTCAACATGTATTTTCTGATTTGTATTGTTTTTGTAGAACATGAATTAATCCACAAAATCACTTTTAATCCCTCTTGAGGGGGTAACCATTTTGCCACTCGTTGCCATCTGAAAACGACATCATACATCATACATCAGACTCAGGGCTCACGTAATGACCGATCATTTCTCAAATTGCGAATGTTTCATGACCACATTGAGAAAACAAGCGAGCCATGATTATTCGCGACTGAGCAACTGTGATGTCATTTTCAGCCAGATAGCAAGTGGCAAAATGGCAACCCCCTGAGATGGATAAAAACGAGATTTTGGCCCTTTCAATGTATACCTTTCCAACAGTGTTACTCAAAACTACAAACCTTTTTCAAGGCACCATTTTGATATAGCTTGCCTACGAGGTTAAAAGTTACCACTACAATACTGTATATATTTTTTTAATTACATGTAAATCCTTCTGCTGCCTCCTAAAATCCCTTCTTTCTTTCCACACCCAATTCCGAGTGCAATCAACAGCGAAGTAATCAAGATGAGATTAGTCACTTGTAAATTTAGAAACGAGCTCAATTCCAGAAGTCTCGCAGTGAGATCACCACTCACAGCTCTATAAATCCAAGTCATGGGCACATGAACAAATTATTTGTGGCAAATAATTGCTTCTGCGTTGCTTAATGTGTGTGTGTGTGTGTGTGTGTGTGCATGCATGACTCTTTCTGTGCTGTGTCCTTTTCTTTCCTTCCAAAACCTCATTAGATGAAAGGTTGTTTAAAAAAAAAATGTATAAGTGAGTCATCGCCTCATTACATTACACACATTTACATTAGTGTGTGTGGGGGGGGGGGGGATCTTGCAGGTCCTCATTGATGTACTTTGCATGTGCCGATGTCCTCATTCTACCTTTCGATATATTTTCATTCAGCATTTAAGCCTTCACATGCAATTTCTCCAGAAAGTTTTTTGTCTAGATATAGAGGGACATGTTTTTTAATGTTTTATTTATTTGTTTGTTTTGTTTGTTTTTTTATTTTTGCAGCTATAGTAAAAAAACATCACAAAATATATGCATGCTTATCAGTGGAGAGCAGCAAAATTTTACCATTGACTATTTATTTGATCCAACTGTGACTTAACAGTAAATATCAAAAACATATAATTGTTACTTTCTGCTATGTTCTCAACTTAAATTAATTGTGAAATTGTGTCGTCGTACTTCGTTTTGGAAAAAGTAGCAGACCGTTTAACACGCTGCGTCTTTGTCAGATTCAACACAGGTTCAGGCACGGGCATTGTGATCAGCAACATTGAAATCACTCAGGGCCGCTGGCATCAACTGGTGGTGAACCGCAATCGGCGTTCCGCCATGCTCAGTGTGGACAACGAGCCTCACGTCGAGGGCGAGAGTCCGCGTGGGACTGACGGCCTCAACCTGGACACCAATCTGTTCATTGGAGGGGTGCCTGAAGAAATGAAACAGGAGTAAGTTTTGACATTTATTCTTCAATATGTAGTAACTTCATTCGAAATATGCTTGAAAATACACAAATAATCTGTTGACTGCAGCCACCATTCATGGGAATCATTCATTTGGTCGCTTTTGCTATTGAATTTGCATTGTGACATCTCTGTCTAAACAGCGCTCATCAGATCCAATTTTCCTCGCTTTGGGAATTTTGCTAATGAATTCTGACATTTTAATCCAATATGGAGTTCGGCCATATGTCTTAATTCAAACGATGGAGGTAATAATTGGGGAAGATTTGCTAATGGAGCGAAAAAAAATCAATGGTGACATTTGCATCATGAAGTACCCTTTGATAAGGAGCTCCTCTCTATCAGGCTAGTAATAATGTCAGACAAGTAATATCAGGAGGATCGTATTTAAACTAGGAATGCGTCAGTTGTCGACAAACGCAATATGTCCCACCAGACATCTTCGACTGTAGATTTCCCCGTGCATTTTAATATGAGTGGATGGCTGAACAATAAAAGTGCCGTTGTCGTACGTAGTGGGGAAATGGTGAATTCCAAAAAACCCAAAAGAGCATATATTTGTTAGAATTATCCGGTACACCATCTCCAGCTCATGTTGGGCTCTCTGTCACTGTCACACAAACACACAAAAGTTGAAAATGTTTTGAATAAAACTGTCGCTTCTATCCATCCATCCAATTTTTTCTACTGGTTATTGCTGTTGGGCCTCGCGGGAACCCGAAGCCCATCCCAGGTGACTTCCGGCTCAAGGTGCACTGTACCCCGGATTGCTCCCCAGGCAGCTACAGGGCACACGTAGACACAAACAGCCTAGCACACTCACATTCACATCACCGCTTCGTGGGAAATGAACCCATGCCGCCTGCACCAAATTTCAACTGTGTTTATTGGGGGGGTGGTGGGGGGGGGGGGATCTTGCAGGTCCTCATTGATGTACTTTGCATGTGCCGATGTCCTCATTCTACCTTTCGATATATTTTCATTCAGCATTTAAGCCTTCACATGCAATTTCTCCAGAAAGTTTTTTGTCTAGATATAGAGGGACATGTTTTTTAATGTTTTATTTATTTGTTTGTTTTGTTTGTTTTTTTATTTTTGCAGCTATAGTAAAAAAACATCACAAAATATATGCATGCTTATCAGTGGAGAGCAGCAAAATTTTACCATTGACTATTTATTTGATCCAACTGTGACTTAACAGTAAATATCAAAAACATATAATTGTTACTTTCTGCTATGTTCTCAACTTAAATTAATTGTGAAATTGTGTCGTCGTACTTCGTTTTGGAAAAAGTAGCAGACCGTTTAACACGCTGCGTCTTTGTCAGATTCAACACAGGTTCAGGCACGGGCATTGTGATCAGCAACATTGAAATCACTCAGGGCCGCTGGCATCAACTGGTGGTGAACCGCAATCGGCGTTCCGCCATGCTCAGTGTGGACAACGAGCCTCACGTCGAGGGCGAGAGTCCGCGTGGGACTGACGGCCTCAACCTGGACACCAATCTGTTCATTGGAGGGGTGCCTGAAGAAATGAAACAGGAGTAAGTTTTGACATTTATTCTTCAATATGTAGTAACTTCATTCGAAATATGCTTGAAAATACACAAATAATCTGTTGACTGCAGCCACCATTCATGGGAATCATTCATTTGGTCGCTTTTGCTATTGAATTTGCATTGTGACATCTCTGTCTAAACAGCGCTCATCAGATCCAATTTTCCTCGCTTTGGGAATTTTGCTAATGAATTCTGACATTTTAATCCAATATGGAGTTCGGCCATATGTCTTAATTCAAACGATGGAGGTAATAATTGGGGAAGATTTGCTCATGGAGCGAAAAAAAATCAATGGTGACATTTGCATCATGAAGTACCCTTTGATAAGGAGCTCCTCTCTATCAGGCTAGTAATAATGTCAGACAAGTAATATCAGGAGGATCGTATTTAAACTAGGAATGCGTCAGTTGTCGACAAACGCAATATGTCCCACCAGACATCTTCGACTGTAGATTTCCCCGTGCATTTTAATATGAGTGGATGGCTGAACAATAAAAGTGCCGTTGTCGTACGTAGTGGGGAAATGGTGAATTCCAAAAAACCCAAAAGAGCATATATTTGTTAGAATTATCCGGTACACCATCTCCAGCTCATGTTGGGCTCTCTGTCACTGTCACACAAACACACAAAAGTTGAAAATGTTTTGAATAAAACTGTCGCTTCTATCCATCCATCCAATTTTTTCTACTGGTTATTGCTGTTGGGCCTCGCGGGAACCCGAAGCCCATCCCAGGTGACTTCCGGCTCAAGGTGCACTGTACCCCGGATTGCTCCCCAGGCAGCTACAGGGCACACGTAGACACAAACAGCCTAGCACACTCACATTCACATCACCGCTTCGTGGGAAATGAACCCATGCCGCCTGCACCAAAGTCAGGCGAGTGTACCACAACACCATCACTGACTAAAACTATGCCTTGGACACAACCAGTTTTTTTGTATTACTTGTGAGAGTCATTTGTCTTCAATGGTTACATTAAAGTTCTACAACATCAAGACATTCCGTAAGATATGAACACGCTAAATGATCATCAAAATTAAATTATCCCTTTCAAGTTCATTGGCATCCAAAGGGTCATTAGTTTCACTGTTGTGATTTTAAGATGTCGAACATTAGCGTGATGGGATGACGTTTCCTTCTCCCGTTTTTGCAGCGTAAAGGAGAGGACTGCTGTAGCTTCGGGTCTCGTGGGCTGCATCCGCCTGCTGGATGTCAACAACCGGGTGCTCAACCTACAAGAGAACGGTGTTGATAATCTCTATGGCAGCGGTGTAGGCGAATGTGGCAACAACCCATGCCTGCCAAATCCCTGCAAGAATGGAGCCACGTGTCAGGTCAAAGAGGCAGAGATGTTCCATTGCCAGTGCAGTAAAGGATTCTGGGGTGAGTTGATGACAGGGAAGCTGTAACCCTGAAAAAGTGCACATGGGGTTTATTTTATCCCTCAATTGGGGGAAATTGAATTAGCCTGGGTGGCAGGCCTTTTCAATAAATATGTAAAGTAATATTTTATATATATTTTGAAGAATTTTGATATTCTCTCTCTCTCTCATGCGCGCGTGCGCGCGCGCACGCACGCACACACACACACACACACACACACACTCACACACACACACACACACACACACACACACACAGTAGATCCATCAATTTTCTAATCCGCTTACCCTTACAAGGGTCGTGGCTGTGCTGAAGCCTCTCCCAGCTGTCTTCGGGCAGGAGGCCAGGTACACCTTGAATGGGTTGCCAGCCAATCGCAGGGCACACATAGATGGAAAAACCATCCATTCTCACACACACATCTAGGAACAATTTGGAGTATTCCATTAACCTGCCATGCATGTTTTTGGAACGTGGGAGAAAACCAGAATACCCGGAGAAAACCCACGCAGGCATGGGGAGAACATGCAAACTCCACATGGGAGGGCTGGAGCCGAAATCGAACCCTGTACCTCTCCACTATGAGGCTAATGCACTAACCAGTCGACCACTTGGCCGCCATTTTTATTATTATTATTATTATTATCATTATTATTATTCTTAATATTATTGCACAGTCAACGAAGCAACTATGGAGCGTGACAACACCTCAATCACTCATGAGTTTAATATATTTCATAAGAATTGCTCCTAAATTCTTGTGTGAACTTGTGGACGTTGATTTTCTTTCAATTAAGGGTTTCACTGTGATCATGTCATGCTGACAAATCCCAAGTGAGCCTGAAAATGCTTCAGAACTGTCGGCATTTTCGTGCCGGCGGTCTGTTTGTGAACACCATCAAGTCGGGGCGTCCAACACAGACATAAGAGATTAAATGTTGAGGCTAGACAGAAAGAGGAAAAGGTCCGCCAAATGCTCAGTAATTGGCCTTTGGCCTATCTGTGCTTCAACATCCCTTCCGGTTGTTTCCCTCCCTGCAGCCGATGCCTGCTAACAAGCAGCTCAGAGAGAACAGTTAAGAGCAGACAGCGGTGCGGCCTAATCACGCGTGCCTCTCGCCGGTTTGCTCTGTGGCATGTAGGAGAAAGTTTTTCCGCCAAATTAATTGTTAGGGTAAACTTTTGTGCCTTAATCTTAAAGGGATTTATACCCCCCCCTCCCGATGGACTTATCCTTGGGGTGGAGAAAGCATATTTCAACCACTAAATTTCCACCACTGAACAATATTACCACCCGTCAGTCAGAGACAAACTACCATTGATTGAAAGCATTTAAAGATCTGTTTTGTGGTCAGCTGATTGTTTCAGGGAAGGAAATTGCCACCTATGGATAGCCAATTGCTGAGCTCTGACCTGATTAGCTTGCAGCTCAGGTGTACTCCTTTAAAAGGGGTTTGAGAAGGTCATTGAGAGCCAGTCAGCTGCGAGAGCCTCGATGCCTGTGTACTTGAATCTGGTTCGCTGTGTCCAAATTAAATAAACTAAAGAGGTAAATGTCCTTCCTGGATCCTGGCTGAACTGATTTTTATTCCTTTTACCGCACGGCGTGCTTTTTCGCCACATAACAATTCCGTTAATTATGAAGTAGCCAAGAGAAGGAATATAGGGTGCTATAGAGCCCTTTCTCTGGTCCAAATAAGTTGATGGATTTATAAAATTGGTCTCTTTCCTCCCTCTTTCAGTTGCTTTTCAAACTGTAAGAATTCCAATCAATGCTGTTTACTGCAGGGTCAAACCTGATCATTTTCCCGTTGTTGCGCATCGAGGTCGATTTAGTTTCTCACCGCAAGCCTTTGCCGTGAGTCCTTGCTTATGAATTGGCTCTTGTGATTCTGTTACTGTGAGAAGCATGGCCTTGGACCTGAGAAATACCTTGAGATATTTTGCTGTGAGCAAACATTTACATTAGCAAAGGGTTGCAAGGAAAAGAAAAAAAAAACCAGCAGGGAGGGAAATTGGTCAGTGCCTGCCGTGAAAAACATCAGGTGCACATGGTGAAAATGTGGTAAACTGGTGCAATTTTCCTGAGTTTACCTCAAAACAAATGATATGTGGTATTAGAACCAATTTTAATCACGTGACACCAAAAATCAAATAATCAAAAAATCTTTTTTTTTTTTTTTCATTTCATTAAAGTGCTCCTTGCCACAGGCTTTGACTCCCAAAAGGAATAGCGGGTGACTTTAACTGGTGTAGCGAGCCAACCCATCAAACCCACAGCCTTTCAACACTGACCTATAATCATCACGGTGACCTATAACCTTTAAACTGGATGCATACTGTTAGAACCTGACCTCCATTTTAGAAAAAATCCCCCCACTGTTATGCTCCATATTTTGCCTCAAATCAGTTGAAAGACGAGTATGGCAATCGTCTCACGATGGATTTGTTTGCTTCTCTAGGTCCAACTTGTGCCGATGTCCATGACCCATGCGAGCCCAGCAGATGCCATCCGTCCTCCCGCTGCCAGGCACTTCCCGAGGGAGGCTACAAGTGTGAATGTCCGATGGGTCGCGAAGGGAGGCACTGCGAGACAGGTAACGTTAACAAGAAATCAGATTTCAACTCACCCACATCATCATTTGACTCTTTTTCATCACGCGATATATTTTGTTTCAATACAGTATGGTCCGTCATATTTTTTAAAAAGAAAAAGAGTGATGGGTAAATAACAGTTTGATATTTTTTAAAAAGTAGCAAGAGCCTAAAGACAAAAAAAAAAAAAGATTTTGTTTTCCTCTTCTCCCTTGTTCTCCTTTGTTGGCTACTTCGAATGTTGCCATGCTATGTTACGTAATTGACAGAGTCATCCTGCCTAAATACCCCACGACGGAAACCTATTTCCAAACTGAGCTGCACCGATTGCTAGAAAATAACTTTGCACTCGACAATTCTCAGGATTTACCAGCTTTTGTTCCGCATCCTCCCTCAGTTGTGCCTCGTGCTCTTCGCAACCTGTGACATTTCCATCTATTTTGAATCAAAAGGGAAGATCAATTACAAAGAGCATGAAGGGGAAATGGTGCGAGCCCCTCAGGGTTGGTGAGCAACAGAGGTCCGATGGGTTGAAAGTGAGGAAGGCCGAATGCAGACGATTGGCCCCACTGGGCCGTCCGCTGTATTGACTCTGCAATAGTTGTTAGTGAAAAGCAGCATTTCTCCCTGACCCCCCCCCCCCCACCACCCCTCCCCGCTCATATAAAACCAGAGA